CCCAGGAGAGGCTGAGGGAGCTGGGAAGGGAATGGAGCCCCAGGAGGGGCTGAGGGAGCTGGGAAGGGGCTCAGCCTGGAGAAGAGGAGTCTCAGGAGGGACCTTGTGGCTCTGCACAAGTCCCTGCCAGGAGGGGACAGCCAGGGGACAGGGACAGGACTGAGGGGTGATGGGGGCAGCTCTGAACACGCAGCACCCAGAGCTGGCTCACCAGGCAGGATTGCAGAGTCCCAGCAGGACCAGCCCTGCTGTTCCTGCCCTCCCCCAGGCTGGGGCACAGCACCATTACCTGCCCTCCTGCAGCACAGGCAGCCACCAGGCCGTACTGGCCCCCCTCCTTCTTCAGCCTGTGGGCAGCAGTGATGACCAGGCGGCAGCCGGTGGCCCCAAAGGGGTGTCCCAGGGACAGGGAGCCCCCCCAGGTGTTGAACTTGTCCAGGGGAGGGGCTCCAACCTGCAGGGACACAGAGGGACACACTCGATGTCACCTGGCTGGAAGGGGTGACACCTCATCCTCCCCTAATCCCAACAGCCAGCCTAAAGCAGCTCAGGATGGCACATCCAGGTGGCTGATGAGGGGATGAAACCACCCCAAAGGAGGGTCCTGCTTCACCTGCAGCCCCTCAGGGGAGCCCTGCACTGTGCAAGGGCTGAGCCCCCCTCACTGCCCTCCCCACCCTCCTCTCAGGGATTGAGCCTCTGGATCTCCACAGCGGCTCTGGATCTCCACCTCCTGCCGACAACGGGAACAGCAGCCCAAGGAAATCTCACGTCCCAGAGAAACTGCATAAACTGGGATTTGCTAAGCCAAGCTCAAGGAGCATCACTGCCCCTCACAGGACAGAGCCAGAGCCTGGCTGTGCAGCACCAGCACTGGCAGGAGGGAGCCCAGGAACCCCAAAGTTTCAATAAATTGGAGAGAAAAGTGGTTCCAGAGGAGACCCCAGAGCTGCTCCCAAGGCTGGAGCCAGGCTGGGAGAGCTGGGGGTGCTCACCTGGGGAAGAAAAGGATCCAGGGAGAGCTCAGAGCCCCTTGCAGGGCCTGAAGGGGCTCCAGGAGAGCTGCAGAGGGGACAAGGGCCTGGAGGGGCAGGACAAGCAGGAAAATGTCCTGAGTGTGCCTTACCTTTGACCTCCTGCCCATGTAGTTCTTTGCAAACCAGTCTGAATCCATGGCTTTCAGGTTAGCCAGGATCTGGCCCTGCAAGGGAGGACAGGGTGACATTGGGAACAACCCAAGGCAGGTGGCTACAGGGAGCCATCCCAGCTTTAGAGCACTTACAGCAAAGGCCTCGTGGAACTCAAACACATCGATGTCACTCATGCTGAGCCCGGCCTTCTCCAGCACTTTGGGGGTGGCATAGGTGGGGCTGAAGGAGGGAAAACACACCAGCCTGGCATCTGTGTTCCCTGTGAGCCCCATGCCCCCTTTTCCACAGTCACATCCTTCTCTCTGGGCTCATGGCCCATCCCTGCCCAAGGGAGGCACAGCCCCCAGAACTATTGCTGAGGGGCCCCAGCAATCCTGGGTGTTCCTGCCACTGCTGCTCTCCCACCTTGTGAAGGCCTGGAGAGATTCAACATCTCCTGAGGCACTTCCCAAAACCCCATCATGGCAGGAGAAGGCTGTTGTGGGAGCAGGGGCTGTGGGGGATGCTCTCCATGTCCACCTACCCCAGGAGCAGCTGGTCCTTGGGATCCTGGGACACGTACACGAAATCCCTGTGCAGGAAAAGGGCTGTGAGTGCCAGGGAGAGGAAAGGAAGCAGGAGCAAGGAATCCTGGAGCAAAGAAGGAAGCACTGGAGCAGCCCCTCCTACCTTAGGTAGGCCTTTGGTTTGTAGCCCATGGCCAGGGCCTTCTCCTCAGACATGATCAGCATGGCCGACGCTCCGTCGGTCTGGAAAGGCAGGGAGAAAGGTGAGGGGTGAGCGACCTGCACACAAGGAGCCCCAGAGCCCCCAGAAAGAGAGGACCTGAAACCAACAGAGCCTCCAGGACACCCCACAACCACAGGGACCAAAGGACAGGGCTGCTGGATTGAGTGACTGGAGGATGGGTGGTCACTGGTGATGCCAGCACACACACAGTGCTGAAGCACCTCCTCACAGCCCACAGGCACAATTCCCCTGTTCCACCCAGGACAGAGGAGCCTGAGGGCCCTGCTAGGCCTGGGACAAGCTGGTGACCCCAAACACTCAGCTGTCCTCCCTTTCCATCCCAAAAATGAGAATAATTCTGGGATGACACAAGCCCCAGGCTCACAACATGACAAAAATGTGGGTTATTATTAAATCCACTTGTTGTGTGTTTGGCACATCAAATCATGGTTTGGGTTGGAAGGGACCTTAAATCACATCCAGTTCCATGGGCCATGGGCAGGGACACCTCCCTTTGCTCCAAGTGCTCAGAGTTTTCACTTTTTATATATTTGTAGCTTTGTAGACTATTAAATCCTTAGGTATAACTTCCAGTGCCTTTCCAGCAGTGAAAAAACTCTTATTGATGCATTTCTAAAATATTGTTTAGTTTTTCCTGTACTCCCTCCAAGGAGATTTTATTTGGCACAATGTAATCACAGACATGATAAGGGTAAGGTAGGAGATGGGGAGAGCTCCCATGGGGCAGAAGGCAGGGAGAAGTCACTTAACCAACTGCTCCTCTAATTGGACAATAATGGCTGGTTATTCTAATTGCCCCACCTTGTATGAAATGGCACAAATCTCATTCAGAATGTGGATTTTTGCCACATTCTGTACCTGAAGGCTTTCAAGGAAAGGTTTGTTTTTATTCTAATGTTGTCTGGCAAAGTTTGTGTTCTATTTCCAGGCATCACAAGATCCATCCAGCCTGGCCTTGGGCACTGCCAGGGATGCAGGGGCAGCCCCAGCTGTGCCAGGGCCTGCCCACCATGCCAGGGAACAATTCCTCATTGCCAAGATCCCATCCAGCCCTGCCCTCTGGCACTGGGAGCCATTCCCTGGGTCTGTCCCTGCAGAGCTGTGGCTGCCCCTGGATCCCTGGCAGTGCCCAAGGCCAGGCTGGATGAGGCTTGGAGCACCCTGGGACAGTGGAAGGTGTCTCTGCCCATGGCAGGGGTGGCACTGGATGAGATTTAAGGTTCCTTCCAACCCAAACCATTCCATGAATCTGTGAAGTTCAGATTAAACCCACTGACTCCAGTTGTACAACATCACCAACCCCATCTGGGACAGAATCCCTCCAAGGGCTTTTCAAGGATTGACCCTCATTGAAGCAGCTACAGAGAAGCAAACAGGTCACACATCCCAAAACTTCATGGATTTGAAAATGAAACTATCCAATACCCAAATCCACCAGAATACAACCTGGAAAATTTGGAAATTAAAAGATTCATTCCCAAATGATACCAGCTAAGGGAGGCAGAGGGTCAGGTGCACAGCTCTCCCCTCTGGCTGGCAGTGCTGGGAACAGGAATTACCAGGAAGGAGGAGTTGGCTGCTGTCACTGTTCCATAGGGCTTGACAAAGGCTGGCTTCAGTTTTCCCATCTGCTCCAGGGAGGACGGGCGGATCCCGTTGTCTTTGGTCACTGTGTCTTTGCCTGGTGAAGGGAAAAAAAAGTACATTTAAATTACAAAAATCAGCCATGCACAAGGGTTTCATCATCAGGACTCCAGGGGGAAAAAAAATCAGAAAATTGTGGGGTTCAGGACAAGCGTGAGGAGGGAAAAAAGGAAAATGTGTTTGTGGCATCAGGATACTTAACATGGCTAAAAACAGCACTTAAAAATTGAAGCTACCTCACTTTTCCTCAGATGACAGCAAAAACAAAGTGCTGCCATCTGTTTACTGGAAGGAAAAATTACCACATGGGAAACCCAGCTGAGAAAAGAATTTAAATTTAGGTTAAAAAGCCTAAAAGAAGAACTGGCCTTAAATCAGTTTACATTTGCATGCTGAGTTTGAGGAATAACGAGCACTGGGAAAACCCAAATATATCCAACTGCTAAATAAGCCTGTTAAGAGAAAGTACTAATTTTATCATAAAGACCACATGGAACCATGGATCTACAAGGAATATTTCTCCAGGATACCAGTTAGAATTCCCAAATGAACAGGTATTGCAGCCAAGTGTGTCCCCTGGCTCCTGGGGGTGATGGGGACACCAGCACAGGTTTGAAGGTTCTCCCCAATTATTTCACCTCCCAGCAAGGAGTGTGAGGCCAGGTGAACTGGAACCTGCCATGTTCCAGCTCTTCCCATCCAGCATCTGAGTTACCAGACTGGGATTTTGTTGGGCTTGTGTTTGTTGTTGATATTCTGGGGTATAGAGGTGGTTTCTCTTGTCTGGTGGAAGAGAAAGGAGATTCCATGTCCAACTGTCCTGATTTTCCTTGCTCTGTCACCTCATTAACACAGATGAGGGATTGGCAAGAAAAAATTCATATAAGTAAAGATAAGACAGAGGGCAGGGTTAGATGGGGATTTTTGAAGGAGTTTTCAATGAGTTAGAGAGGGGATCTCTGAGCTTTTTAGATGATGTGGTTTATTTGGGAATAAATTTTCTTAGGTTCTGCATAGGCAGGAAAGGTGAGTTCTGCTCACATCTTCACTGCANGTAACTCTGTTTTTATTGTCTCATATTGTCCTAACCATTTTATTACTATTAAACTTTTAAAAATTTTAAAAACAAGCGATTGGCGTTTTTCACACATCCTAAAAGATTCTGTGATTCTAAAGCAATCCCAGCCTTCCTCTGGCAGCTCCCCTGTCCCCTGGAGCAGTGCTCTTGCACAAGATTTCCAAGGCAGAATAAACAGGACGGCCCCGGTGCTGTACCCATCCCTTAGCTCAGCAGAGCCAGGCAGCAGCTGGTGGGTGGCAGAAACTGCTCCTGTCAGAAAAAGGACTCAAAGGTGCTTGTGAGGTGATTTAGGAGAAATTCTGCTCCCTGGCAGGTCAGAGCAGCCACCCTCAGCATCACCAAGCCATGGGGAACAAGTGAAGAAAATAATGAGGAAATTAAAAGAACAAAAATCTCATCTTCCCAATGCTTGGGAGAAGGACAGCCCTGCACACTTGAAGTTTGTCAACACCTCAGAGCCCCTGGCAGGGCCTGAAGGGGCTCCAGGAGAGCTGCAGAGGGACTGGGGACAGGGATGGAGGGACAGGAGCCAGGGAATGGCTCCCAGTGCCAGAGGGCAGGGCTGGATGGGATGCTGGGAATGAGGAATTGTTCCCTGGCAAGGTGGGCAGGCCCTGGCACAGGGTGCCCACCCTGGATCCCTGGCAGTGCCCAAGGCCAGGCTGGACATTGGGGTTGGAACAGTGGAAGTGTCCCTGCCATGGCAGGGGTGGGTTAGGTGACCTCTCCAAGCCTCTGCCCACTCACACCAGCTGTGATTCCAGGATTTCAGAGAGCCAACATCTGATGTCAGCTCAGCCTCCACCACAGGAACAGTCCCCAAAGCGTTTCAGGTGAAGGGAGGGAAAGAAAACAGCCAGAAGTGGGTTTTGTCCTGATTTATTGCAGTTCCATCAGTGACATTCATTTGTCAAATGCAATTTGCTCATTCCAACAGCACTTGGACAGTGTGGAGCAAAGTGCCCCCTCAGAGCCCAGCTCAGCCCCTGGGACTGCCCCACTGAGCTGCTCCTCCCACAGCATCACCTCCCCTCTCAGCCCCTCCACCTCCACTGCTTCACGTGCTCCTGATCTCCAAACTTAATTCTCCATCCAGAGCTTTGGAATAACTTTTGTTCCCCCGTGGGAGAAATCCTGCAGGGTTACCAGAGGGATCAGACAGTTACAAGGAGCCCGCAGAGACTCAGAGCTGTGTTAACTGCTCCTCTCCTGGAAGTGGAATAGAGCGTGCTCATTACATAAAAATTACTGGCTGAGTAGCTAAAAGGGATTGACAAAGGCCACAAATCCCCTCTCCAAGAAGGATTGGGTGTAGGATTTATTAGTGCATTGAAATGGCATCGCCAGGCACAGGGTGAGGGACAGCACTGCCAGGGCTGTTACTGAGGGTACAGCTCCACGATCATCGCGTGACCCTGGGGACAGACAGACAAAACAGCACAGGAATGGCTCATTAACAGACAGGACTAATTATTATTGACACAGACTCCTATCAAGAACATGAGCCACAGCAGCTGGACACAAGCCCAGGTGTGCCCAGGTGTGCCAGAGGCCAATGGCCCCTGGGCTGTGCCAGCTCTGGGGTGGCAGCAGGGCCAGGGCAGTGCCCGTCCCCTGTGCTGGCACTGCTGGGGCACCTCCAGTGCTGGGG